AGTGCAGCGCCCAGAATTGCACGCAGTACTCCAACTGCGGTCTGACCAGCGCCCGATAGAGGGGAAGTATCACCTCCTTGGACCTATTCGTCATGCATCTGCTGATGCACGATAAAGTGCCATTGGCTTTTCTGATGGCTTCGTCACACTGCTGACTCATGTTCATCTTGGTGTCCACTAGGACTCCAAGATCCCTTTCTACTTCTGTGCCACCCAGCAGGTCATTCCCTAGGCTGTAGGTGTGCTGGACATTTTTCCTCCCCAGGTGCAGCACTTTGCATTTCTCCTTGTTGAACTGCATTCTGTTGTTTTCTGCCCACTTGTCCAACCTGTCCAGATCTGCTTGCAGCTGTTCCCTGTCCTCCGGCGTGTCCACATCTCCCCATAGCTTTGTGTCATCTGCAAACTTGGACAGAGTACATTTCACTCCCTCGTTCAAGTCACTGATGAAGACATTAAAGAGTATCGGTCCAAGGACTGAACCCTGTGGGACCCCACTTCCCACACCCTTCCAGGTCGAAACCGACCCATCCACCACGAATCAGTGACTCTGTGATTGTTCATAGATTGAAGACATGCTTGCTGCTAGCCACCAATGCTTTCCAGCATATCATTGCTGATATAACTGGTAAAAAAAAAATCATACCTTTAAACCCAAATAAGTAAACCAGTAAAAGCTTGATCTTATGTTGCCCTGCTCAGGCATAATATGTGTAGCTTTCAGGAGCATAGTAAATTGTCACAGCATTGTCTAATCTTGCTGTTATCATCTTGAGTCGTGTAAATTTTTTTTTTTCTTAAAGCCTCTATTTGTGGAGTTATTCAAGAGTAAATGTGAGGAATGTTCCCATTATATGTTAGGGTTAAACAGCAGAACAAATCCAACCAACCCATTAGCAATCTCTGTGCCTAACAACTGGGTTCATTGTACAGTTTGCTGCAGTTGTCATTTGAAATAAAACCCATGTCAGTGTCTGTGGGTAGCAGCCAAAAAAGATCATCCCTACTGGAACAAATTGAGGAGAGCTGTGCCAAGTGTATTTTACCAGGAACTACACTGTTGCATAGTTTATACTCGTGTAGCAGACACTGCTTTTCTATTGTAAAAAAATAACAGATATACAAAAGTCAGAGTTGGAAAACAAAGTTTAAATGTGACAGAAATTCTAACAGTTCTCTGGATGCCCATTTTTCCTGTCATGCAAGCATGACAGCAAAATATTAAATTAATTATTTTTTTTCCAAATACAGAGATCTGTAGAGAGATCTGATTTACGATTTACTGAAAAAATGTTGAGTAATGGATCACTTTCTTCAGGGAATGCTACATACCGGAGGAGCTTGTCTACTCTGCCATATTCATTCATCATGAGATATTTATGTATATTACATTGTAATGATTTTGAAAGATCATTGCCTAATATAAAAAATATTATCACTATTGACTTGAATTATGATGACATTTGTGAACGTGACCTGGAGACCAATTAATATCTTGCTAGCCCTACTGCTTGTGACACAGCCACCCCTGCCAGCTGCCTGTCCTCTCCAGTGCCCCAGCCCTCCCTGCTGTGTAATGAGGGCTGTTCTCAAGCTCACTTACTGCAGCTTCTGCTTACCCTTCTCACTGAGTGCTGCAGATTCCTGTCACCAGTGGCAGTGGGGAGTGTCAAATTTGTCAGCAAGGGTAAATGGAAGGTGCAGTAGGCACAAAGCAGCCATCAGTACAAACCAGGGAGGGCTGAGATGGCATCAGGTAGGGCATTGAAGAGGGGATCAGTGCCACATAGCAGAGAAATTCATGACAGAGTGGGAAAGGTGCTCCTGCTACCACATACCACTGCAGGCCAGATCCAGTCTCTTTGCAGGCTGAATCTGGCCTGCAGGTTGAATGTTGCCAAGCCCGAATTAAGAAAATTGAAATGAAACTAAGAAATAGCAAAAAAAAGTGGCAACTGTGCAGTCACTAGAGTTGTATGGATCAGGTTTGCAATTCCGCTCCTGTTATTGTCTCCAACCTTCTGCACGAACAAATTAGATCAGGCATCAACATTCCCATCTCTCCTTCAACAGTTTATATAAATCATTGCACTGACTCCTATGGCTTGCCTATGGGGGAAAGGCAGCATGAAATAAGAGAGTTGTATTAGTCTGGAGATAGGCAGAAGGCAGGGGAGCGCAACACCTTAGAAACAAACTTGTTCCGAGAGGCACAAGCCTTAATAGGCAACACCCTCCTACATCAGATGCAGATTAAGTAGGCTGTCGTCTATGAAAGCTCATGCCTCTTTGACCCAGTTAGTCTCTAAAATGCTGCCCTGCCCCACCTTCTTCAGAAATAAACTCAGGTTTAATTTTAAAGCATACTATCTGTTCCACTCCAACCACCTGCGTTGGATGGTCTTGTTCCATGCATATATAACCTACCTTATGTTCTGCATGTTTGGCTATGGCTATGTTCTATAACAGTAAGTTTGTGTATTCTTTAATTGCATACCCTCATTAGTATGCATGTGTGGACATCTGAGAGCTATTTGCACCTGTTGGTGGGGCAATTGTCAAGGGCAGGTGGATCAGATTTTGTGTCCATGGGCCTTCTCTTCTACAACTGTGAAGTTTGTAGGCACACACGTTTAATGCAAAGTTACACAAAGGCCACTGAAGGGACAGCACTCACTGGGACCTCTGCAAAGCTCTGCAGTGGGCCGGTCCTCAGTTTGAGTAATGAATGTGTATATTTGTGTGTGAAAAGCGAATGAGATTCCAGATAGGTGTTACTCCCTGGCTGCTGATGTGGTTCATCAAATCTTTAAGGGAAAGGGCTTCTAAACACAAGTCCTTATAGCAGGTTCAAGCGAAAACCTTATACTCCTTATAGCTGTAAGAGCTGAAAATCCCTGAGCCTTCTGTAGCAGTACAGCAGGGTCTGAAAAAGCTGAGGTTGCATAGGTGACCCAAAGAGCACCAGCAAAGAAGTGGTGATTCCTGGCAATAAAAGCCATCTCTTGGTGGTAACAATGGAGTGGGGGCATCTCCTGGAGACAGCAACCAGAGTAATAATCCCTAGAACAGGGGTGGGCAAAATGTGGCCCTCCAGGCCATTCTATCCAGCCCGCAGGACCCCTAAAAATGTAGAAAATTAATATTTATCTGTTCCTGGCTGCTTGTCATGCAGCCCTCGATGGCTTACCAAAACTCAGTAAGTCGCCCTCTGCCCGAAATAATTGCCTACCCCTGCCCTAGAAGCACTTGCCTGGGCCAGAGCAGTGATCCCAGGCAGCAACTCTGATGAGGTCTTTCTTACCCAGCACTTCCTGCTTTGGCCGGCATAGGTGGCAGAGCCCCATAAACCAGATTAGCAAGCCCTGGCAGCAAGGAATAGCAGGGCCAGAGGCAGATCCAGGGCAGGTACAGTTGTACCCTCTTTGATTCCTGGTGCACCCAAAATCTAGGTAAAAACCTTAACTCAGGTATGGTAATATTAACTCAGGTGTAGAAATGACTGATAGTGAAGACACTGGCAAGCCACTCTCAGAAGCTAGTTTTAGTTTATAAATCCACGTTGCTTGTGCAGATTCAACTGTGATGTCTGCAAGACTAATGACAGTATCTTTGGACTCCTACTTGCCTAGTTTCTTGTGTTTTTAAAAACTTGATATAAACTCTAACAAATTAGTGCACATTCCAATAGCTGTAGTTGTTTCTGCTTTGAGCTTAAACTGAAAAATAAAGTGCTGTCTCCCCCTCCCCCAGCATAGTAGTCAAACTTCTATTTTCTTCAGTTAAGGAGAAACACGTGCATTGCATTGTGCGTGATGATGACACATCACATCACCTGTCCTGCAGCCCAAAATGTACAGCAGGGCCTCCTTCTTATTGCTAGGCTGGCTGGTATAGTGGTAGAGCTCCTGGGGGAGGATGACTGGTGGTAGCTCCCTTGAGTTTGTTTGTCAGTGACTAGGGTGACTCTTAGAGACTCATTCCAAGAGGCACATGCTTTTGGAGGGTCCTTTATTGGATGCAGATGGGAACTGCTTTGGTTCTGGTTAAGGTTCTCTTTAACGTGCAGTGCTAGGGAAGCTCCCGCTGGGTTTACAACCTTGCTGTTACACCCCTAAATCTGCATCCACCCCTTGCTCTCCCAGGGCCTAGCAAAAGGTCAGCCACCCTTAGCATAACCCATTATGGGAGAACAAGGGCTATCCCCTCCAGCAATAGGCCCTTGCACACACAAGCCCGCCCCAGGAAGCCAACAGTGCTGCACGCTCCGCAGCACAACACTCAGGAGCTTGCACCACTGCGCCTGCGCGAGGGAGCAAAAGGGAGGAAAGGTTCTGTAATCTCGAGGCACCACTCCCAGTGCGCACGCAGTCAGCCCAAGACCACGTGATCCAGATTCGGCCAAGAAGCGTTAGCCGTGCGCAAGGCATAGCGGGATTCTCGGCCTGTTCACTCCTCGCTCTCCGAGCCAAAGAAGCCGAGCCCTACCAGGGCGCTAGAACTACCCTTCCCAGCCTGCCTCGCGACAGGGCGGCTCGCGCGCTACCTCACGGGATTCGTAGTCCGCCCCAGCTAAACGACAACTCCCAGCATGCCGCAGGGGGGTGGGGGAGAACAGGGTGTG